GGCAAACTTAAAGTGAATGGGTAGAGAAAACTGTTTTTGAAACTTGCCCTCTGTAGAAATTAAGGTCCTACAGAGTGAACAAACGTATTTTAATGGGCTTGATTAAAATAGAGATTAACAAGCCTAAAAGTCTATCTTGCACCCCCACTGGTGTAGGTGTTAATTTGAATAAGAGTATCTTTTAGCTTAGTATCTGTCTCTTTGTATATCTTAGCAACCTGCCTCTTGAAATTCATCCAAGTGTAGTTACAGGAAACCTCCAGAACCACCTTCAATTACCTGCTTCTCTACCCCATATTCCCGGTCTCCAACTAACCCTCACTGACCCCTGAGGGAACCGTCCCCCTAAAATCTTCAATCCTGTTCACACCTGAAGAAGTGAGATTTCTTGTTACCCCCTTTTATATAACCCAAACCATTGGTATGTGAGATTTGTTCAGACAAAATGGCAACAGGACAGAATGATGACCAGCTGATGAGACAGCAACATTCCTGGAACCAGAGATCACATGACCCCAGCACGAAAAACAAAACTTATGGCCCACCTAGTGCCAGGAGGCATCAGTTTGCATTCCATGCTTCCATCCACCCTCCTGCAGATAATAGGAGCCAAACCATGTTTACTGGATCCACTGGTACTGGTTCCCTTTTCCTGCCCAAGACAACTTAAAAATCCCACTTGGTCCCCCCCAAGGGCGAGGCTCTACCCCAGCCTCACCTGAGGTTTGTGGACCTCACCCAGGAACGCATCGGACTACTATTTCCTTCACTTTGCTCGTCTCTGTCCCTCTGTCTGCGCCGGACAGGATTCCAAAATCTATCAGAAAGGTATAATGGGATTGCTGTTGGGATAGTGAGTGTAATATATTATTGTAAACTTAAAATAAATTTAAAAAAATAAAGTGAAAACGTAGAGGATTTCTTATTTGCTACACTGGAAAACACAATTAACGTCCTGGAAAGAGAAAACCCCTACTAGTCTTCCTCAAATAGGCGCTCGGCTCAGTGCCAGGGGTGGGGCTAACCTGGCCGAAGAGGAGCAGAGGCCTCCAGGGGACAACCTCTGCCTTCTCTCCTATTCTCTCCTCACCCGTGTTTATCTAAATTTCTTTCAATAAAAACTCATTTTTTAAAGAAAGACAAGCCACACCCCATCATAAGGCGCATTCTCTCTGGCCCGGATTGCAATCTGCTGGGGTTAATTCCAGTCACCGGCTTCCCCACAGGAAAAAAGCCCAGGAAAGGGGCCAAAGAGGGCCCTTCCTCATGGCTCAGGGTCGCAGAACCAGAAGGGCTGAGAGAGCACAGAGGAAAAGGATGAGCGGGAGGTCTAGAGCACCGGCACCAGAGCCCGCGAAGCCCAGGTGCTACACCGGGGACCCACGTGACCCAGCAGCACCTGCTCTGCCCCCAGGCCTAAGGCATGCGACTGCTGCTGCCCTGCCCCCAGATGCACCACATGGAGCTCAGGTGATCTAGGCCCAATTTTAAGCCTCGTCGTAATTCATTGAAGGCCTGATCGCCGGCGATGCCAAAAAGTACCAGATTTCTAAGTGCACTTTTGTACTCGGGAAAAAGTACCGAAATAGATAACAGCTAAGACCTCTAGAATCCTAACCATGGAACCTGCCCGAGGCTAATCCTATCTTGAAAATTAGCCCCATCCTAGAACAGAGATGACGTTACCAAATAGCCTAAACTTGGCAACTGTCCAGGAATGCACTTCCCCTTTCGTCCGTGACCAGTACTTCCCACCTAGGCCCTCCACATCCCTAACCCTCACCCGTCGCCCTATTTAATAGGTCTGGTCTCCGGAGACCCAAACACTAAGATTTCCTGTTGAATGGACTCTGCACACTTCTACCCGGCGGGCACAACCCGGTCAGGTACCAAGGCACGTGGCTGCCCGCCCCGCCCAAGCTGTGGCAGGATCACACGTGACCCAGTGCGCGCAACCCCGCGGGTCCAAGGCACGTGACACCCCGCCTGCCGCACACGGGCCCAGGGTCAACTGACATTCCCCTCCGGGATTCTGGGCCTCGCAGACCAAGCAAAGGAAGTGGCGGCGATCGACAGGGGCGGAACAACAACGGTCACTTTAAAGTGCATCCCTCGGGGCTGGAGCGACAGCACAGCGGGTAGGGCGTTTGCTCTGTACGCGGCCGACCCGGGTTCGATTCCCAGCGTCCCATATGCCCCCAGCACCGCCAGGAGTGACTCCCGAGTGCCTGAGCAGGAGGAACCCCTGAGCATCGCCGGGTGGGGCCCAAAAAGAATGAACAAATAAAGGCCGTCCCCACAGTGCGGAGGAGGCACAGGCCGCCCTGCGGGCCTCCCGGGTTCCATCCCGGCGCTCCGTGCGGTCCCCGGAGGCTGCGCAGGCGCGAGCCAGGGTCGAGCGAAATACAGAACAGGAGAACAAGGCTTCCTCGCCTGCCTTTCGGTGTGGCGCGGCACAGGGGGAGCCGCACACACGCACGGGAAAGCACGCGCCGGGGACGGGCCTCTGGGAGACGCCCGCCTTCTTGGAGGGTGGCGCGGGGGACTGTGCGCGAAGGGCCGTTGGGGAAAACCTTTCCGCCGTCTTCAAAGATGGCGCCGAGAGCTCTGACTGGGCAGCGCGCGGGGGCGGGTCCGAGCAGACATGCGCACTGGGGGGTTGGCGAGGCGCGTTCCGGGAGGAGGAGCCTTCGAGTCCGAAGCGTTCTGCGCGTCAAGATGGTGCCGGCAGGAGCCTGGGGTTTGATCCCCGGCTTCCCAAGGGGTCCCGGGCCTGCTAAGAGAGATCCCTGAGCTCAGAGCCTGAGCACCATCGTGTGTAAGCCGAAGAAAAAAAGGCTTTTGGGTCACTCCGGGCCAGGACTCCTTGCGTGCTCGGAGCTCGGATGAGATGCCGAGGACCAGCCCGGTCGGCCGCGTGCAAGGCAAACGACCTACCCGCTCAGGCCTCCAAATGATCCAAACAAAAAAGCTGTCGTCCGTTCTTGCAGGGTCACACCATCACCACTAGGAGTCACTCTCGTGCTGTGCCCCCAGGCTTAATGCACAACCGGGAGAACAAGTACACGCAGCATCGCCAGAGAAACTTCTTTTTTGTTTTGGGTCACACCTGCGGTGCTCAGAGCTTACTACTCCTGGTTCTGTACCCAGGGATCACTCCTGGCGGGCTGGGGAGGAATGGGAGCCATGGGTTGCCCAAGAGAGAGCCCGGATAGGCCGGTGCAAGATAAACGCCCTACCCACTGAACTATCACTCTGGCCCCGGAAATCTAGGGTTTGGAAGAGCATAAACAGTGGTTTCTGGAGGCCAGCACCACGCAGACTGAAGGTGGATATAGTGGCCCGATCTTGGGCCGAAAAGCACACGGGAGCAGAGAAATGGTCCAGTTTGGACCACAACTGCTTACACAGATCTAGAGAACTATAGAGAACGTTACGGACTTTTAAATTTTATTAAAGCACCATGATTTACAAAGTTAGAGGCACCAATGTTCCAGTGCTGATTCCTCCACCAGTGTACCCAGTGTACCCGCTGTACTATTGCTCCAGTCCCCCACAGACACATTTCTAAGTTTGGTTGTTGAAGCTTGGACCCCATGTTGCAGGGGTTTTGCTGGTGTAGCTGTACAACTGCTACACTACTGATGCACCTGAATCCCCTTGGGCCCTGCCACCCACCGCTCCCTTTTGTCTCTTATGCCCCCATCCCTCAATTTCTTTCCTGATCCTCTCCTCCCAGGCTTAACGTATTTCCCATATTTCCCCATCCAGTTTCTCTTGACTAAATCATCTAGTATTTATCAAGAATGAGGAGCAATCTAGTGGAAAATGCCTCAACACTTGTGTCTCTCACAGGATCACAAATGAATAATGATCATTTGTTAGTGACCTAGTTTCTGCTAATGTGGAAAATTATCATTATGATGTGGGATAAATTTCCCACATGGGCTAGAGCATTAGCATAGCGGATGGGGCATTTGCCTTGCATGCGGCTGGCTCGGGTTTAATTCTTCTGTCACTCTCGGAGAGCCCAGCAAGCTACCAAGAGTATTCCACCTGCATGGCATAGCCCGGCAAGCTCCCCGTGGCATTTTCGATATGCCCAGAACAGTAACACGTCTCACAATGGAGACAATACTGGTGCCTGTTCGAACAAATCGATGAACAATGGGAGGACGGTGCTACGGCAGAAACTAGGTCATCTTTCAACTGAATGATTTCCCATACTGAAATCCATATATTTCACTGCAAAAAGAACTACAAGCTTCTGGGCCAGCGTGAGAGTTCAGCAAGGAGCTTTACACACAGCAGACTGGATTGCTCCTGAGCATGTCACAGAGCCCCCAAGCACCACCAGGAACAATTCCTGAGCCAGGAATAAGCCCTGAGCACCAGCAGGCATGGCCCCCAAACCCAAAAAAAAAATTCAAAACTCTCAAAAAAGAGCTGTTTTCATCATTCAATCTTAGGTAGGTTCTGATGGCTCTCCAAATTTTCTATCATTTATAGAGCTACATGCAATGTGGTCATTGTACATCCTCCAGTGAATTGAGCTATGAGGAATTTGCCATTTTTCTTAGACTGACAGGATTTTTCTTAAGGATGAGATTTACAAGCTGCTGAAAGAAGTGCGAAAATGAAGGTGTTTTTCTATTGCTGGCACTGCCAAATCTTCAGTTGCTTTTTTTTCCTGTGATGTTTGGAACAATTTGAGGAACCAGAAATACATATCATGTGCCCACAAGACTTCTTTTGGGGTTGGAGGGATATTCTATCAGGGTGTGCCTTGCATATGGCCAAGACTAGTTAGATCCCTGTGATATGACCCCCAGACATTGCCTAGAGTAATCCCAGAGGATAGAGCAGGGGTAAACCCTGAGCAGAGTAGAGTGTGACCCCCAAACTTAAAAGGTTTCTTTTTTCCAGTGACTTTGCATTATGTTCACTAGAGCCTGAATTTTGGTCAAACGTTCATCCCATTCCTTGCACGCAGGTTTTCTCTACCTTGTGAGTACACTTGTCAATATCAATATATTGGCTTGATAAATATCTCATGGGAACACGTCTATCCAGTATGCGATCTATAATGTTTAGTAAGATGTGAAGAAGTAACGAAGGACCTCCCACACTTGTCACACTGATAAGGTTTCTCTCCAATGTGAATTTTTATATGTTCAGTGAGTCGTGAAGACTGAGTGAAGGCTTTCCCACACTCCTTACACGGGTAGGGCTTCTCTCCAGTGTGAGTGCGCTTGTGAACGATAATGTACGAGTTATTGGCAAACGATTTCCCACAAATGTCACACTCGTACTTCTCTCCAGTGTGAGATCTGTGATGTTTAGTAAGACACGAAGAACTAACAAAGGCTTCCCCACATTCCTTACACACATAGGGTTTCTCTCCAGTGTGAATACGTTTATGAATGATAATGTATGAACTGTTGGCGAATGTTTTTCCGCATATGTCACACTCGTATTTCTCTCCAGTGTGAAATCGATAATGTTTAGTAAGGTGTGAAGAAGTTGCAAAGGCCTTCCCGCAGTTCTTACATTCATAAGGTTTCTCACCAGTGTGTGTGCGCTTGTGAATGGTAGTGTATGAAGAACTGGAAAATGTCTTCCCACATATGTTACATTGGAAAGGCTTATCTCCAGTGTGGTATCGAAAATGATACGTGAGATGTGAATAGGCAGCAAAGGCCTTCCCACATTTGTCACATTTATAAGGCTTTACTCCAGTGTGAATTTTTGTGTGCTCAGTAAGGTGTGAGGATTGCGTGAAGGCCTTCCCACATTCCTTACACACATAAGGTTTCTCTCCAGTGTGAGTTTTCAGATGTTTGGTAAGGACTGAAGGCTTAGTAAAAGCCTTCCCGCATTCCTTACATACATAAGGTTTCTCTCCAACATGGGTTTTCAGATGTTTGGTAAGGACTGAAGGCTTAGTGAAGGCTTCCCCACATTTCTCACATTCACGGGGGTTTTCTCCACTGTGGGTATTTGGATGGTGGATAAGTTCTGAGACTTGAGTGATGGACTGCCTGCATTTATCAGATTCATGGAATTCTTCCCAAGTGTGTGTCTGTACGTGACGTTTAAGGAGAGCAGAACACTGAAAACCTATTCCACGTTTCTGACATTTGTAAGCATTTCTCTCTGTGTCAATTGTAGTATAAGCATGAAGATTTGAGAAACTTGTCAACGAATTCCCACATTCTTCACCACAGGGAATCCTTCTTATGTGTGTTTTTTTATGTTCAGTAAGTTTAAGAGGCTCAGCGAAGTTTGTCTCTGCAGAGGATGTTCTCTTCAGAGGGAAGAAGCCCTTTCTGTACTGCTTATACTCGGAAGAAGTCCCTCCACTTTGAGGATTCTTATGTGTACTAGGGCGTGAATGGCCACTGGAGTCTTTTCCACAGTTTTCACAATCATAGTCATCCCAGTCATTTTGGATTCTTTCCTGCTGGATAATATACAAATCATTATTAGGTATTTCTCAGATTATTGACAATGTTCATCTTAATACAGAAACAACACTGAGTACTATGATTTCCACCATTTCTACATTTACACAATTTCTATCCTATGGATCTCTTTCAAGTTGAATGGTGGAATTCTGCTGTCAGAATGAAGCACAATCTTCATCCACCACGTCAAGAAATTCTTTTAAAGAACTCGGTGTCAGATACCCATGTGGGAACAATTCCCTCTGAGAATTCTAAAGCTCAAATTTTAAGGTAGATTTAGGAAAACCACAAATTCAGACTCTGTCAATGATTTTGTACCACTTAGGAAATGACATCAGTCGTGGTTCTAACAAAAATGTCAAGGGTTTTTGTTTTGCTTGGTTTGTTTAGCTTTGGTGCCACACCTTGCAGTGTTCAGGACTTGCTCCTGGCTCTGCACTCAGGATCACTTCTGTCAGTGCAGTGCTGGGGATCAAATCTGGGCTGGCAAGCGCCCTACTTGCTGTACTGTGGCTCCTGCCAGATCTCAGTAATGTGGTATAAGTAAGAACTACTATTTTCAAACTTACTGATCTTACTGTCTCTATCTTCGAGGTTTCGTACCCAAAATTAAGCTGCTGAAATGCCATGTCTTTTTGGTTAAGTTGTTGCAGCTCCCATTCTATAATAAAAAAATAAAATGAGATATAAGAATTTGCAGAAGGAAATGTAGTTCAGTAGCTTAAAACCCAGGAAGTTATTAATCTTGCTCTCAAGACCATATTCTCCTTTGAACATGTCTCATTTGCCTTGCTGTTTCTTTGCCTATTTCCACTCTAGAGAAGGCTGTGTTCTCTCTTCAACATGTACTTCTTCCTCTCTATCCCCTCTTATCCTTCTAAATAAATTTCAATAAAAAATTTCTTATTTTACCAAAATAGTAATAATAAATTAAACCACAAAAAACAGTAAAGATCCAGAGTTGATAAATCAAAGGAGTGCATGCTTTTCATATTTAAGGGGCCCAATCAAAAAACTACTATCAACCATAATGCATAAAAGGAAAAGGAGAGACTGAGCAAGAAGGAAAGTGCCTCTCATAGTGGATGACTGGGGATGGGGGGATGGGGTGTTAGAGGATGGTGGAAGGGAAACAGGACACTGGTGGTGGGAAATGTACACTGGTGGAGGGATGGGTGCTGGATCACTGTATGACTGAAACCCAATTATCAACAGTTTTGTAATGGTCTATCTCATGGATATTCAATTTAAAAAAATTTTTTAAAAAGTAATGTGGAGGGGCTGGAGTGATAGCACAGCAGGTAGGGCGTTTGCCTTGCATGCGGCCAACCCAGGTTCGGTTCCCATATGGTCCCCTGAGCACCGCCAGGGGTAATTCCTGAGTGCAGAGCCAGGAGTAACCCCTGTGCCTCGCCAGGTATGACCCAAAAAGCCAAAAAAAAAAAAAGTAATGCAGAGTCAGTCTGTACCTGTGAGGCGAGTGCATCAGCAGCCTAATGGCACCTTCAGATACCCCAAAATTGCTGCTGTGCCTTTGGCCAGACCCCAAAAACTTGGGGCAAAGTTTACCAAGAAAGTAAACGGCCAAAAATTAGGTATGTGGGAAATACACCCACAAACCACCTCTGGCTCAGCTATATAATTGGAGGCATGGCCTCTCTGGTTCCTGATCAAACTGCTTAACGGCCATGATCCCAGAGACTCAGAAACAAATCTTGAAACCCAGCGGCTTTTGACAGAAATGCGTCTGGTCCCTGCAGTAGGTTACCAGTGCTGGGCCAACCCAGGTGGGAATAGGTTTCGTGTCTTGGCCTGTTCCCCCCGGTGGCCCAGTGGCCGCCATCCTTCAGAGGCCACTGGACAGTCAGGTTTGGGCCCCCAGTGACAAGACACGCAGGGCCTTGCGAGATGGGGGGGGGGAATGGAGCCGGGCCTGTCCCCCCCACCCCAACGAGACCCCAAGTCATCGCCCACGAACAGCCTCTCTGGCTCCTGATCAAGCTGCTTAATAGCCATGATCCCAGAGACTCAGAACAAATCTCGAAACCCAGCGGCTTTTGGCAGAAGTGCGTCTGGACCACGCAGTAGGTTACTGTTGTCGGACCACCCCGGGGGGAAAGGGTGTTGTCCCTCCACCTGATCCCCCTTGGCAGCTTGATGGCCATCATCCTCAAGAGGACATTGGACAGTCAGGTCTGAGCCCAAAGTGACGAAACTTGTTGGGCCTCACAGGATGGGGGTGGAGTCGGGCCTGTCCTCCCCACCCCAACGAGACCCCAAATCATCGCCCACAAATGGCCTCTCTGGCTCCTGATCAAGTTGCTCAATGGCCATGATCCCAGAGACTCAGGAGCAAATCTTGAAACCCAGTGGCTTTTGGCAGAAATCCCTCCAGATTTTTTTTCTTTTTGGGTCACACCCGGCAATGCACGGGGGTTACTCCTGGCTCTGCACTCAGGAGTTACCCCTGGCAGTGCTCAGGGGACCATATGGGATGCTGGGAATCGAACCCAGGTCAGCCGTGTGCAAGGCAAACGCCCTACCCGCTGTGCTATCTCTCCAGCCCCTTCCTCCAGATTTAAGTGTTAAAATTTCAGAATTTCAAAATCACATGGCCCTACTGCAGCCACGCAACATCATATGTTATTCATAACCAGCAATAGAACACAAATTGTTTACTGTTGCCTTTTCAGCAGATCTGAGTGTTGGGGTAAAATCTCTAATAATAATGGTGGGTCTGGTGTCGAAATATTGAATGTGATCAAAGTAGAGAGAGAGTGTAATGTGGAAATCATCTGCCCCACAGGTAGGGGAAGAGTGTGGGATGGGGGTATACTGGGGTTGTTGGGGGTGGAGAATGGGCACTAGTGAAGGTACGGGTGTTTCCTTATATGACTGAGACTTAGACCCGAAAGCTTTGTAACTGCTCTCATGGTGATTCAATAAATAAAATTATAAAAAAAAATGTAATGTGGAATTCATGCCCCATTGAATCAGCTTAATCAGTGGCTGAATAAATAGCAGAACTCCTACATTAAAAAAAAAAACAACAACAAAAGAAACCAACTGTATCATCCCTATTACCACAGGGTCCCCAGAGTACCACAAGACTTGGCTCTGGTGGACCCTGAGCACCAACATGGGAGCACTGGTAGCTTCCAGCACAATGCTGAGCCAAGCACTAAAGCATACGACCTGCCACACTTGGTGACCCTTAAGGTCACCAAATACTGCAGCAAAGTCACTTCACAAAAATGGTGTATTTGCTGTCTCCAAATTCCATATAACCAAAAAGAAAAGACAAAGTAAGGAGTATGGCCATGTCAGAACATTAGCTCAGAGAACTGTCTACATTTATTTACTTTCCAAATGGATTCTGTAATAAAAATTAAACCTGGTGGGCAAAAAGAATGGGATTAGGGAAAGGAAGTAGAAAGATTCTGAATAAAAATCATCACAAGAACCAACAGAAAAGACAGGCAAGAACCAGAATAAACCACCTGAGGAAACCACCACCTCAAAGCAGAATCAGAAACCAAGCTGCTGGTGCAACTGCCTCACCTCATCACCAAGAGAGCAGGGAGATGAAAGCTGCAGCCACAGTTTGGACAACGAGGTCAGCCTTGGCAGCAGCCCCAGACTGGAGACCAGGCCCAAGATGGTTAGGGCTGAGGGGGCCCAGAATGCCAGGAGTCAAAACTGGGTCAGCAGCCGGGGTAACAGTACAGTTGGGATGGCTTTTGCCTTGCAGCGGCCAATCCAGGTTCGATCCCTTGCATCCCATATGATCCCCCCAAAACCCCTAGGAGTAATTTTTTTTACTTTTTGGGTCACACCTGGCGATGATGCACAGGGGTTACTCCTGGCTCTGCACTCAGGAATTACTCCTGGCGGTGCTCAGGGGACTATATGGGATGCTGGGAATCGAACCCGGGTTGGCCGCATGCAAGGCAAACGCCCCACCCGCTGTGCTATTCCAGGAGTGATTCTTGAGTGCAGAGCCAGGAGTAACCCCTGAGCATCACTGGGTGTGACCCAAAATAAAAAACAACTGGGTCGGCTGTGTGCCCTCCCCATTGTAATATCCTCTAGTCCTGGGCCTCTCAAGTTTTCAGCTCAAGGATCCTGGAGGCTATTCGGACGATACTTAGCAGGACAGGCTAGCAGTTCACTGCTTGGGCCCTCTGGTACCAGGAACCAGGGCCACCCCAGCATTGCTCGTGGGTCTCCAGGGCCACATCGAGCAAAATTCAGGGGCCCCCAAGATTGCACCTGGTTATGCTTATGGGGTGGGATAAGGAACTGGGGAACTCAGGTTGTACCCTAAGCACTGTACATCTCCATCCCCAATTCCAAGAATTTTACCAGGCATGGCATGGCAGGCCATGTAGAGAGGAATCTCTGAAAGTTTCCACAGAGATCAGCCAACACCTATCCACGAGCACAGCAAGTCCATCCACGTCCACAAGAGGCTGCGGGAACAGTGACATCCTTACCTATTGCCATCAGGTTCTGGTAATTCTCCAGCATGACATCTCTGCAGAGGTTTCGCTGAGAGGAGTTCAGCAAATTCCATTCTTCTTGGTTAAAGCTCACAGTGACATCATGAAAGGTCACCAGGTCCTAGGACATCACATACATGCTGACCTGAGTCAAGCAACATCTTACCCATGTTCACTGAACAATGAGAATGGGCACCCAATGAAAAGTCTCACCAGCTCTTGTCATCTGCCTAAAAGAATAATGGTCTGATATAGCACAGTTTTAAATAAATTACATAGAGTAGAAATTAATCGAGGAAAATGACTCTTCAAGAAATACATTATTTTATTTTCCTACAATATCCTAGCATCCAACATTAAAAAAAAAATAGGAGGTTGCCATTATGAAAGAGAGTAGTTAAGTGGTAAGTATTAAAATACCAAGGTTATTAAGTACAATTTCTCTTCATGAAAAGATTCACATTGTAAGGAACTTCAACATGGACTCTGAGTGGATCTATTATTTTAAAAATAATTCTGGAGGGCCTGGAGCAATAGCACAGCGGGTAGGGCATTTGCCTTGCACGCGGCCCACCCAGGTTTGATTCCCAGCATCCCATATGGTCCCCTGAGCACCGCCAGGGGTAATTCCTGAGTGCAGAGCCAGGAGTAACCCCTGTGCATCGCCAGGTGTGACCCAAAAAGAAAAAAAAAATCTGGAGACATCTAACGAGATGAATATATACATAGAAATACTAGAACGTTATTTTTTAGAAGGCATACTTCGTACCTGAGAACAATTTGTCAAACTATGATTCACCATCCTTTGACTTCGATCTCCTCTTAAGAAAGTTAGTTTCTTCAGAAAGAAATCCTGGGGAAATGAAAAGGACACAATCACCCACAAATGACCAGAATTCTTAGGGTCACCTACACAGAAGTGACAGCATCCTAGATTGAAACAGCCTCTATAGATAAACTCAAGAAATCTTACACACTACTGAGATAAATACCAGAATGTGCTTGCCTCACTTGGAAGCAAAAAAGGGGCATGAGTTGGGCTACCTTTCAATCAGTACAAGAGTAAAGGTGCTTGCCTTCATGTGACTGACCCAGCATGGATCCTGGCACCCCCACCCCCACCCCCGTGGGCCACCGAGTTGGCAAGACGTGATCTCTGAGCAGAACCAGGAGTAAGTCCTGAGCACCACTGGATGTGGCCCCCAAAACTAATACTAAAAAACAGGTTTTGTTTGTCTGGAGGCCTAGTGCTAAGGGGTGCCCATGACACTGAGGGCTGAACTCCGGGCTTCTGTGCTATGGTCCACCCCTAAACCATCTTCCTGGCATTTGAAGAGCTTTACAATTAGTCCCCATTCAATTGTAGGGGAGAAAGTTATGAGGGACAATGTAGCTCCTCAAGTCTTCAAGTTTACCAGGGAGTGCTTTTCTTTTTATTATTTTTATTTTATAAATTAGTTCACAACATTTGATTACATTTCATATTTGAACACCAATCCCACCACCATTACTTCTTCCCACCACCATATTTTGGACGTTTCCATCCTGAACCCCAAGCCCTGCTCCAAAGCAGAAGTGAAATAATCTATTTTGTATTGTTATGAAAAACTGCTGAAAATGCTATGAAAGTTTCTTTAGCGGAAAGAGTGTGAAGATTGTATTTCACCCAGGGTCTATAAGAGATCAGTAACATGTTAAAGGTTGAGTCTTGTGTGCTTCTGTGTGTGTGTGTTAAAAAAAATATTTCCCTCTAAGATTTGTTGCCTCCTACTTTAAATCCAATCAAATCTGGCGTAGTGCTTGTGGAGTATGGGTGCTGCCATGTATGAGTTATCGGCGGCCGGGAATTTGGGGCCGCAGGGTCCAGGAGCGAGTGCTTTTCTAAGGAGGGGAAGAGGGCTGGCCGCAAGCATCGGGCAGCCACTGCCCGCCCTCGCAACGAAGGAACCCTTGGACTCGCATACTGCGTCCATGCAGAGGCCGGGCCCAAGGGCTAAGCCCTGCCCACGAGAGGGCGGGGCAAGGGTGCCAGGAAACAGCAAGCCGGTCGTTCTGGAGAAGGGGCCCGTCCCCACACCCCACCCTTGGGAGTCAGGTCACAGTAACCGACACGCAAACACCCACAGGCGCCTTTCCGGGGTCTCCAAGAGGCCAAAGGACAGCCCATCAGCCGCAGATCTTCTCGCTCCCACGCCCGGTGAGAACGAGGACCGCGGACCCGCGCGGACCCCACGGCGACCCCCTGCGAGCTCACAGGTCCCGCGGCAGCCCCCGCGGGGGCCGCTGCTCGGACAGACGCCACCGGCACTGCCCTGGGCCACGCCCACCGCCGCCCCTCGCGGCGACCCTGCCCGGCGCGCTGCTCCGGCGGGGGCTCCCGGCCGCGGCCTCGGGGCTACAGGGAACCTGCCCGCACGCCACTCCCTCGGGCGCCCGGGACCTCGCCGCGGACTCCGGCCCGAGGTCCTGCCGCAGCCCCGCGCGCACGCACCCGGCGCCCCCGCCGGCCGCGGGAGCCCGGCACGCACGCCCCTCCGGGCCCTGGCGGCCCCCGCGGGCACGGCCCGGCCCCGAGCGCCGGGCGCGCGCCCACCCGGCCGCCCCGGCCCGGCAGCCCCGCCCCCTCACCCGCGCCGCAGAAGCGCACGGAACCCGCGGCAGCCCCCGAGCGCCGGCGGCTTCCCGCCGGGGTCGCCGGCCCCGCCCCTTCCGGGACAGGGCACTTCCGGCCCCGCGGGCGCTGTTGCCGGGTTACCGGGGAGGGCGTGGCCTGTGGGCGTGGCCCCAGCCTCGAGGCCGTCCAGTCCCGGCTCCTAGGCCCTCTTCCGGCTTTGTGGCAGGGGCAGGCGATCCGACACACTCGGCTCGGTTGTAACGCGGACAGCAGCCGCATTCCACACAGGCTGACTTCACGCAGACCAACAGCGGGAGTCGGGAGCCATGACCAGTCGTGGACTGCACTCGGGGTGTCCTTGAGGTGGTCCTAGTCCCGCTGTCTATCCCTGGACTCCCTGCTAATCCGGGAACGTCTTCCAGATACGCTGCCGTTCCTGACCATTCCAGAACCTGCTTTGCAAAAGAGCATGCTTGGGCATTTCTGCTTCTGTGCTGTCCCCCAGCTGCCTGCAAATACCTCGGCCCCCATCACATATTCTATAAAAATGGGGCTTTTTGCTTTTGTTCTGACCCAGTTATTTTGGAGCACACTCTCTGCTGGGTCCACGAGCGTGCTATATCAGTGTTTTTCCTCTTCTCAAGGCGTGTTGCTTGGTTCTTCGCTGTCATTTGGTGGGAATTTCCGCAACAGTATGCCTGAAAAGGTTTATGGCTCAGCAGAAAAGCTTGTGCCATGTATGAGACCTGGGTTGGATCCCCAGCAATCAAGAAAAGAAGTCGAGGGGCCTTCGCCATAGTATGTGTAGGGAGCTTGTCTTGCACTAGGCTGACCGAGTTTGATTTTGATCACCCCATGTCCCTTTTTATTCTTGTAGCTCATCTAATTCCCTAGATTGGCTTTAGTGGGAAGGCTACTCATCCATCTGTTTGACTTGATTGGGTTACGGGGCCACACCCACTGACCCTCATACACAGAGGCCAGAGATCCTACTCAGGCTGCAGCATTTAAAACATGCCCTCTAACCTATTAACTTCTCTGGCTCCTGGAAGCAAGTTTATTTTTTATCTCCAATGTACATATTATAAAATTTACATTCCCAGTAAAGAATATGACGATGGAAATACAGCCATTATAACAGAACTACATATTCTGATTATGATAAAGTGCATGGATTGTCCCTGAGAAGTCGTTTCATAATACAAAAAAATGCAGACAACACTCGACACTTTGAAATTGTGCCATCTTGATCACATTTGTAGAAAAGCAACCTTTATTAACTTTTTTGTTTGTATGTTTTTGGGGTCACATCCAGTGTGGTGCTCAATGCTTATATCTGACTCTGAATTTAGAAATCACTCTTGCTGTAAGAGTGACCATGTGGTTATTGCAGGGGATTGAACCCAGGTCAGTCAAGTTCAAGGTAAACCCCTTACTGTATTACCTTTGCAGGTCCCTATTAACTTTTAAATTAGAAAGTGCATATATGACAGACATCTTTGTTTTTTGTTTTGATCATACATGACTGTGCTCAAGACTTATTCCTGCCTCTGCAATCAGGGATTATTTCTGGCAGCAGGCTCAAGAGATCATCTGGGATGCTGATGATCAAACCTGGGTTGGCTGCATGCAAGGAGTGAGCCCTACTCTGATTCCACAATTTCCTTTTTTTCCTTTTTTTTGGCTTTTTGGGTCACACCTGGTGATGCACAGGGGTTACTACTGGCTCTGCACTCAGGAATTACCGCTGGCGGTGCTCAGGGGACCATATGGGATGCTGGGAATTGAACCCGGGTCAGCCACGTGCAAGGCAAGAACCCTACCCGCTGTGCTATCACTCCAGCCCCAGATTCCACAATTTTCTTACAATGACCTTGAATTCAGGGTATCACCTGTGAGCATTATGAATTCTATTTGCTGAAGACAGCACCCCACTTCTAACTTACATTTTATTCAGCATTTTATGGAGAGATATTTTAGTATATACAATGCTACAAATATGTACCTTTGGCCCAGGGAACCTTTTACTATATGTTATAATTTAATAAAGATGTTACAGCTTTATGTAATAACAGAAAAAGTAATACTATTAAAATTTTGAGCACATAATTCTGGATTTTATAAAAATAAATGTTATCTGGTCCAGAGAGCTAGTACAGTGAGGTAGGCACTTACCTTAGGCAGCCAACCCTGTTGCCCAATTCCCGATACCACATACGGTCCCTGACTTCTGCCAGAAATTACCTCTAACCAGAATCAAAAATAAGCCCTGTGGGGCCGGAGAGATAGCACAGCGGATAGGGCATTTCCCTTGCACGCGGCTGACCTGAGTTCGATTCCCAGCATTCCATATGGTCCCCTGAGCACTGCCAGGAATAACTCCTGAGTGCAGAGCAAGGAGTAATCCCAGTGCATCACCGGGTGTGACCCAAAAAGCAAAAAAAAAAAAAAAAAGCCCTGAGCACTGTCAGGTGTGACTCCAAAAGAAAATAAGGAAAATAAA